AGCCAGGGAGGCGTGCAGGCCCTGCCTCCAGAAATGCAGGCTGTGAGGCCGCTGTTTGAGCCGCCGGCTGGGGCCACAGGACACTCACACCAAAGTACAGCTCTGCACCCATGAACGCCCAGTTAAACAGAGCAGCGTGCAGGGCGGGAAGGAGTGCTAGGAGCTGGGAGACGCGCTCAGGGGGTGGGATAAAGTTGTCCCCTCATGGCCGCCACTCTGGCCAGGCTGCCTGGGTTCCAGTCCCAGCCCCGTGGCTGGCGCAGCCCACCCTCAGAGAACAGAGGACACAGCCCACATTTCCCCACTGACAGGCCCAGGACGCCCCGTCCAGGACAGCCTCACCCCAGCCACAGAGGCCACTCCTCTTCATCTCTCACAGTGCCCATCTCTGTCCCTCCCTCACACGGAGGGGTCTCCTGTGGCCGGGGTGTCCCGCTCATCCTCCCCACGCCTGCTGACCTCCTGGTTTTCACTGTCGATCTTTCTGGAGGAAGATTTGAGTGGACAACCCTGTGTGGGACATGCTACTGCCCTCTCCAGGGCTGGGGCCCTGTCCTCCAGCTCTAGCACCCAGGGCTTATGTTATGGGATGAATGTGTTCCCCCAAGTTTGTACATTAAAGTCCTAACCCCAGCGCCTCAGGATATGACTGTATTTGGAGATGAGGTCTGTACAAAGGAATTAAGTGAAAAGTGGCCGCTTGGGTGGGCCCTAATCTAATCTGCCTCGTGTCCTTATAAGAAAGATTAGGACCCAGACACACACAGAGGACACAGGCACAAGACAGCCATCCCTCAGCCAAGGAGAAAGGCTCAGAAGAAACTAATCCCCACTCCTCGATGGTGGACTTCCAGCCTCCAGAACTGTGAGAGGATAAATGTCCGATGTTTAAGCTGCTCTGCCTGTGACACTTGGTTGTGGTTGCCACAGAAACTAATACAACTTAGTGCGTGGCTCTTGGGAAGTGGGTGCAGGCTGTAGAATCAGTGGGTGGGTGGATGGATGGGTGGATGGATAGATGGATGGATGGATGGATGAATGTATGTATGGATGGATGGATAGATGAATTGATGGATGGTAGGTGGATGGATGGATGGATGGATGGGTGGTAGGTGGATAGGTGGATGGATGGATGGATGGGTGGATGGTGGATGGATAGGTGGATAGATGAATGGGTGGATGGATGGGTGGTGGGTGGATAGATGAATGGATGGACAGATGGATGGAAGGATAGGTGAATGGATGAATGGATGGATGGATGGAGAGATGGAAGGATGGACAGATGGACAGAATCACAAGAGTGATACATAGAATAACAAAATAAATTTTCGATGTGTGAATTTCTCCTTGTGAAACGTATTATAAAGAAGAAAAATAGTAAAGCGGATGTAATACACATGTAATGACTTGCCTTTATTAAAACGAAGGGAAATACAAGAAAAGGCCGAAGTCTCGGGCAGATCCAAGACTCTGGCTGCTGGGCTATTGGGAACCTGTGGGAGGCGGTCCCGCCATGACCACACTGCATCTCCGCACTGCGTTCTCCTCTGAGGCCCATGCAAAGCCCGCCTCATGCTGCTGGGCCAGGCTTCAGACAGCGATCCCGAAAGAGCCTGGGCTTTGGAGAGGCCTGGACCCATGCCCAGCCTCGGAACCGTGTTGGCTCCCCACCAGGGAGTTCAGGGTCAGCAGCGAGAAACAAACGCAGACCCTGCTGCGCAGGTGGTGGGTGAGCCGAAAGGCCAATCAGAGATGACGGGCAGCCCAGGGACTAGTGACTGCCCACGGCCACCCCTGTCCCTGGGCTGGAGGGACACAGGGAGCAGGTGGTGATGCTGGGGCGGGGCTGGGCCACCAGCAGGAGCAGGACCACAGAGGGAGCCAGGAGCAGGACTGAGTTGTAGCCACAGTCAGAAAAGTCACCCAGAGCAGCGGAGAGGGGGCAATTCCCTGGCTTCTCCTGCCCTCCTCCCGTCGGATGTTCCTATTGGCCGGGCGAGCCAGGCGACCTCTCTGCAGGCTCAGCCCCGGTGGGCAGCACAGACGGGGACAGGAGAGAGAGAGGAGGCACCGAGCTCAGGGACGTGGCAGGCAGGCATGTGGCGTGGGTGTGCCCGCTTCCTCGCCAGAGGATCGATTCAACACGCCTTCCTACCCGCTCTGCTGCCCCGGGTTCGGGAAACACACACAGAAGAGGCCCCCGTGGATGTTTACCTGCTCCTGAGCCCAGACTCCGACCTCACGTATTTGTCCACCGCTGCCAGCAGCTTCTGCTCGGAGGACTCCAGCTGCCTCCGGAGCGTGCCCGTGTCCACGTCGGGGCTCCCGAGGGCAGCTCCCTCCGGGCACCATCCCGGCTCCTCGCCGCTGTCCTCCGCGTCCTGGAAGACCCAGGTCGTGTCGATCTTCACGTCCACGTTCATCACGTCCACCCCGTCGCCGCCGGGGGCTCTGACCACGTAGCTGAACGTCTTCTCGGCGCGCCCGGTGGCCGCGGGCTCCATCCCGGCATAGTGCGCGGCCGCGGCTTCACGCCGTCGAGTGCGTTTGCAACACTGACTTTCTGGAGATTGCGAGGCGGGTGCAGCGCCTCCAGATTGTGCAGGAAAATGTCCCCTGAGGAGGCAAGAGCAGGTGGATTATTCATGAGGGGGACTCGGTTTCAGCGGCACAGGCGTCATGCAATATGCATGGCGCCTCTCGGGTTACGGGCCGGCGTGCCAGCGCTCCCCCAGCGAGGACGCGCGGCGGAAAATCACTTGGAAGGAAACGCTGAGCCCGGCGCACAGGAGGGAGCCAGGCGGGACCACGAGGGCGCTGCAGGGTCTGGG